GTCGACGGCGTCGGCATTCTCGTCAGCACGAGTTTGTCTATGAACATCGATTCATTTGAGCAGCTTACAACCCGAGTCGGACGTTTGCGATTAAAAAGATGTGGATCAATGCCGGCTTCGACAGTCTTCGTCGTTTACGCGCCAACATCAAACTATGACAAAGAAGAAGTCGAAGAGTTCTATATGGACTTGGAGAAGTTCTACAGAGAAGACCATACATTCTTCAATTTCATCACTAGAGATTTCAATGCCATGACTGGATGAAGAAAAACTTCTGAAGAACTTCACATTGGGAACCACGGATTGGAATGGAACGAACAGAGTGAGCGGTTATCTGAGTTTATCACGGAGATCGAGACCATCCATGGTAACTCGCAATTCCAGAAGCTCCACCCTCAACGTTGGACGTAGGAGTCCCTCAATGGAGAGTACCATAACGAAATAGACCACATCATAGTAAATATGGTTTGCTAGTGGATATCGCTGTTGACCCAAAATTCTACACCGGATCAGACCACCGTCTCCGCGCAAGACTCTATTTCTCACGGAAAGGAGAAAAAGCCGCTAAATTCAAAAACCGAATTCCCAGAACCACCGTAAACTAGGACTTATTCAATTCATTTGCCGGCTGTTGGGCAGATGCCGTTGTCGATAACATCGACGAGGAATACGATCGGCTCATTTAACATTTTTTCGTTAGCGCTATGAAAGCTGAGAATTTGAAGTCACCAAGAGATGTCTGTCTCCAGAAGCACTGGAGCTGATACGCCAGCGTGGAATCGCACCAGTTGCAGAAAACCGCGAACTGACGTCCGAACTTGCAAAACAATGCAGACAAGCGATAAAAAAAAGATCTTAAAGAGAGAAGAGCAGCAGTTATGGTCGAAGCTGCAGATGCTGGGAAAAACATTCGCAAAGCTCAGCGAATCTTCGCCAATAACGACACCCAAATGATTACACTCTGACGCCTAGACGGAACAGCTACAGCGTACAGAAAGGCAATGGAGAAAATCATACACGAATACTACTGAAATCTCTTCGATAACCACATCCACCTCTCGTCATATGAAATAAAGGAGGATGGATATGTTGTACCACTGGTTCACCCTTCCGAAATCCGACATGCTATTTCGTCGGTGAAAAATCGAACAGCATCAGGTTAGGATAGGATAAGACCTGAACACCTGAAGAACCTTCCGCCAGTCCTCGTTAACACACTGGTTCGGTTCTTCACACGTTACCTGTCTGAATGCAAGGACCCTACTCAGTTGGAGACCAGCAAGAGCGCGTTATGTTCAAAAAGGGTGGCCTACACGATGTCGGCAACTATCGCCCAATCTGCCTACTGCCTGTCGTCTACAAACTTTCCACTCGAGTCATCCTAAACAGGATTGACAGAACACTTGACGAAGGACAGCCATGTGAGCAAGGAGGATTCCGAAAGGGATTAAGTACGATGGATCGCATCCTGAAGATAACAAGGCTCATTGAAGTATCACGCGAGTACAAAAGGTCGCTCTGTCTCACTTTCATCGATTTACGGTAAGTGTTTGTTTCAACTGAGATAGAAACACTCATGGAAGCCCTTGATGGTCAAGGAGTCCTTACTCAGTATATGAAGATTCTTCGTGAGCTGTACACAAATTTCACAACCAAGATATCACCATTTTGCAAAGACATTATCATTGACGTGAAAAGAGGGGTTAGGCAAGGCGATACCATCTCGCCAAAATTATTTAGCGCTACCCTCCAAAACGTCATGCGAACATTGGAATGGGATAATAGGGGTGTGAAAGTCGATGGTCGGCAGTTACATCATCTTCGTTTTGCTGATAAAATCGTCCTTATAACACCAAACATTAGCCAAGCGTAAAGTATGCTTGCCGGCTTTGATAAAGCCTGTGGAAAGATTGGTTATCGACTAAATCTCACAAAGAGGTCGTTCATGTAGAACGGATTTATTTCGTATGCCCCTTTCACGTTCAAAGGAACGGATATTTCCGAATGTTCCAGTTATGTATATCTAGGTCGGGAAATCAATATTATGAATGACAACGTTGCTGAGATGTTTGTAAAAGTCTGGACCGCAGGTGTCTTTGGTGAGGAACGAACGCGCTGTTGTCCTTTCCGGAGAGTAACGCGTTCACCACCGCGCCATGCGGGTCCTTCGTTTCGCCTATCTCTGAGCTAGTTCTATCGATCAGCGCCATCAGCAATCACCCGTCAACGGAATTAATCTGGGGAGCCTACATTGGCATTGAACCCAGTTGAGCTGACGCTGTAGTTTAAATCACAATGTTTTACCTTTTATTTTCTGCCTACTGCAATTTTCACGGTAGGGTACTAAGCGAAATACAACCACAACGTTGCTGAGGTATTTGCAAAACTCTGGACCGCAAATGTCTATGGTAGGAAACGAAGGATCCGCATGGTATGCTGGTGAACGCGTTACTCTCCGTAAAAGACAATAGCGCGTTCGTAGCGTGTCGTTTTTCAAGTAGGAGCGCGGTGGCGACCAATGTAAGGTGGCATGTGTAGCTGCCGGTGAGCATTTGATTTGACTCAATTAACTCAAAGAAGATCATTCTCTTTGAGCCTTAAACAGCGGACACTGTCAGCTCGCTATCACTAGGTCTACGTTTTGTTTTAGTTAATGACTCTTCCTGGCTACGGAGCCAAAAGATGTAGCGCACGTCCTTCGTTTCCGAGTCCTAGTATTCCTCTCGTGACTATTTCACTCAGGGTTTGCAGATGCAAAAGGAGTAATAGAGATTTGCGTTGCTGACTCGTTCTTTTAATCGGACAGATGTTCAGTGTACAAAAGTGGGTTCTCAACCAAGAGCTCATTGATGATAACCTCTCGAAGTCAAATGCAACCCAATAGTGACATGTGCGCAGCTCAAGGTTTTAAGCAGATGCAGTGTTCTTGCTAACCGCCGATACAAAATCGAAGGACAAAATTGCATCCCGTGTGTAGCTAGTATTGTCTTTGAACAAAGACCACGTCGTTGTTCCCCACAGCATAAAAGCAACGTCGCTTTTTTAAACGAGACTTGCCATCTCGTGATGAGGTTTTTTAAAAAAAAGGCGACGATTGCGGGAACAATTATTAACACCTCAGCTTCCAAACAGCAGTGCCGAATTCGTCTCCAGGTTGGGTTACAAACGTTCTGCCATGAATCATAACTCCGCAACCTGGCACATGCTCTTACGAACAAACGGATCAAAACTAATCTAGGCAACTATTCTGGAAAATAACACAAAATAATTTCGCTTAATTAATCCTAGAAATGAAGGCACAGTGAATCATGCGTTGTAAACCTGAAGCTCAAGAGGAAAAATTAACTGGTTACAATGTTAGCTTTTTATTTGCTACTTTCTACCATTTTTTTAACAGCAGAGTAGTATGTGGAATACGACCGCAATGACTCCGAGACATTCGCAAAACTCCCAAGCGCAGGCATTTACAGTGGGATCGAACACACTACTATCCTTTCCGGAGGTTAACGGATTCACCACCACACCATGTGGCTCTTTAGACGTAGTGTTGTGCCGACCAAACCTTCCATTCTTCCAAGATAAGTGAATTGGAACCATGGTTGTCCGAGAGACACTTCTTCCGATGCGTGAACAATGGCGGTTGCTTGTGAGAAAGACCTGGAAGTGAACTAGGCTGGTCATCCTAGAATTACACCGAGAATCGATTGGTCTTCCACTAGGTTTCATAAAGGATACCAAAATTTCGAAACCGACTTTCTCTAAACCTCGGTGTAACTAATCAATATGTATTCTTTCTTGATAAGCTTGCACGAAGTTGATAAACATATTTTTAGCCGAAAATAAATATATTTATCAACCTCGTGCAAGCTTATCAAGAAAGAATACATATGGATACCAAAATTCTCAAGCAGTAGCGAATAGAAACTTATATCGAAATGCCTTCGTTCGTAATGGATGGGTGAATCCAAAACAAGAATTGGTGAAATCAGCAAAATCCCTGGTGTTGTGACATGTGAGGAAAACAGAACAAAGTTATCGATAGGCCTAGGCTTTTGCAAATTTTTATTGTGATAATATGGCTTTACGATTCTAGCGAGCCTCATCAATGTTTACCTTTGAGTGATGCTGGCTGTGGAGTTTTTTTTCATTAAAATCATTGTATATAGAGCTCTTTTCGACAAGTACTCGCTTTCGACTACGGGTTGGAAGACAGAGTAGGTTTCTTCAAGTACAGAAGTGGTTCTTAGCACAGGTTTTATATAGCTGAACATTTGCATGGAAATAGGAACCGTTCTATATTTTGGGTGGATATTCTGAAAACTGATGCACCGAATTTTGAGTGCGTCGCGCATCGCTCACTCAAGAATAACCTCCAGCTAAGGAGAGGCGGTAATCCATAGAGGACTTCAACTGATTAGCTTTTTAATTTAATAGGAAACCTCCTCATCTAAACTATATAAAAATTCCAGACTCTATTAAAGATTTATAATAGATAGTGTATGAAAAAGTAAAAGAGAACCTCAGGCTTTTTCTAGTTCTCATCAGTAATCCGCAAAATAGGACACACGTGGGTAGTATAGAATGATCAAGGATTTCAGTTTTCTGTTCTTACTTTATTATATTGCTTTTGAACATTATATTAAGTGCCATTCGGTTATTTCATTTGCTCAGACAGTTTAGGTCACCATTTAACTTCGTCCCGAGCATCATGAACTGCAGAAAACATGTATATTACTTTAAATCTTACAAAGCCCTCAAAAGCATCGGTTATTCCGAAAAGAGGAAGAAAATTAGGAATAGTAATAATTGGTTAAGAAGACATCTTTCGAAGCGAAAAAACGAGCAAGGCTTTAGAAGGAAATGAAACAAGTGATTTCTAGCAAATGGTTGGAAGCTCAAGACCTCGTAAGTCGTGTGTTACTGACCCTAGATGCAATTGTTTTCAGACAGGGTTTAGGTAATCTAACAGTTACTGATTTTAGGAGACGATCGCATGTCTGTCGACGATGCCAAAATCGACGATAGACAATCTAGAGGTGTTAGTTTTTGGAACCGAACGTGGCATGGTGTTTGTCGTCGACTCTCAAGCGTTCCAGGTCATCGCGGAGTGCCAGATTTCCGGAGTTCCAGTGCAAATCGTCACTTATGGTTAGCGCTTTTCGATTATGTCTTCTATAATACATAGCATCCAATGTGTCGCATAACCCTTTCTGATTTTAAAAATAACGAAACGAAGAAAAGATTAAACGAGAGAATTTTCGGTGTTGTCCAAACCGTTAATATTGCGCCATGCATTCGGCTTCATTAGTGATGTCGTAGAGGTGATCACATTTCTCATAACAGCTTATGAGGACCTGTAGATGTAGCATATCAGTATTTTTACTTTCGTAGACACGTCTGGTACCAATGTTCCGAAATAAGGTGATAGTTTACCCTAGGCGTAGGATCGTACCGGCTACCACTTGTGTATTGCAAGATAACTTTTACTAAAGAGCTGCAAGTGCTTTGAGAACGTTATAAACTAAAATCGAATGTGCTACTGTTACCTTCAAAACGAAACTACTTTGTATTCGAATTCTCTCCCATACTGAGTGGATTTTAACTTCAAAAGAACCTTACCTCAAAACTATAGTTACGCAGTGTGATGAAGGGCTATTAAAATCTCTGAGTTACGGTGTTCATCCAATGACCACAGGTTCTGGGAATATCCGCGGTGTTAACATTTTTGCTTACCGCCTATTAGAATTTTTCATGACAGGGTATTATGTGTGATACAACCACAACCATAAAATAGTTAACATTGTGATTTCGACTACTGCCTCAACTTAACTGGGCTCAATGCCGATTAGGGTTCCCCAGATCAATCCCACTGGCAATTGTTGATGGCGCTGATCGACTAAACTAGCTGAGAGACAGACCAACCAAAGACCTGTATGGTGTGGTGATGAACGCATAAGTCCCCTGAAGGGGTAATGGCGCGTTCGTTCCCTACCGCAGACACCTGCTGTCCGGAGTTTTACAAATTTCTCAGCATCACTGTGGAAATAACCGCTGTATTTTTTCACGGGGAAAATTTGACACCATTCAAAATGTTTATGAAGTCGTTTGATAACCGATGAAACTCGTCCACTTTCTCACTGTTAATGTTTTTGATAAAGATTGACTTAAAATTAGAAAAATTAGGGAAAGGCCCAGTTCTTGAAAGATATTTAAGGTGTATTCGATGTTGAGTATCGGTGTTTCGTGAGCACACGTAATGGGAATATTTTCTGCGTGAAACGAGCTCAAACGGTCAAAGAGAAACCGATCATCTCTTGTAAAACGGACATTGTCAGCTTCAACATACTTAACAAAATAGTACGTGAAAACTATTTCTTTTGTGAAATTTATCCTCGAAAAGGTGTTCCATAACTATGTGGGAGATTTATATTTATTTCAGTTTAAATATAATATTGTATGTATCCCAAATATTTGTTTGCGATCAAGGAATTTAAGCACTTTTTTGCACATCATGACTTCTTCTAGGCTTTTCGTGAATAACTCTGACCATCGGGTTGGTGGTCTTCCTGCAGTACGTTTGACACCCCGAGGAATCCAATCACTAACGGCTCGGCTAAATCACTTCATCGGTTGTCATTCATATGCATTACGTGTCCGGCCCACCTTATCTTCGGTTCTTTGGGGTACGGAACGGCATCTCTGATTTTTCATCGTTGACAAAGGTTGGAGCTTCGGATTCCTTCCCTTACTTGTGTGAAACGGGTTACTCCTAGCATCGTCCTTTCGACTGCGCGTTCGATAACGCTGAGTGATCTTCCATCCTGCTTATGAAACTACCAGGTTTCTGATGCATACGTTAAGGCGAGAAGAATCGCGGAGTCGAAAAGGTGAACATGGAGTCGGGTGTTCTTTGTTTTCTTCACTACATCTTCGATGCTCTTGAAAGCTCTCAAAGCTGCTCGTTTCCTCCTGCTCCATTCTGGAGATAATTCGTTCACCACGTTGATTTCCCAATTTAGATAGCCGTAACTGGAGCATTCGGAGGTATTCGTTCCTTTGAGCGTGAAGAAACCATACGAAACCAATCCGCTCCTCATGAACATCGTTTCTTTGAGATTTAGTAGAAGATTAATTTTTCAAAAGGCGTTATCAAAGTCGGAAAGAATTTGTTCCACTTGGCTATTGTTTGGTGTTATAAGAGCGATATCATCGGCAAAGAGAAGATGGTGTAACTGCCGACCGTCGATTTTCACTCCCATATTTTCCCATTCCAATGTCCACATGACGATCTCGAGTGTGGCGGTAATTAACTTTGGCGAGATAGTATCGCCTTGCCTAATACCTCTTTTGACATCTCTTTTGACGATGTTAATATCGTTGTAGAATGGTGAAATCTTGGTTGTGAAACTTCCATACAACTCATGGAGAATCTTTATATACAGTGTAGGAACTCAGTGACTGCCCAGGGTCTCCATGCCTCCTTCTATCTTAATTGAGCTTTCTTCAAATCGATGAAAGTGAGATAAAGCGGTTTTTTGTACTCTCACGATACTTCACTGACCCTTATTATTGTGTGGATGTGGCTCACTGTAATGAATCCTCCTCGAAATCTTGCTGCTCGGATGGCTATCCTTCGTCCAGTGTTCTGTCGGTCCTGTTTAGAACGACTCGAGTGAAAAATTTGTAGACGATAGACAGTAAACAGATTGGGCGATAGCTGCCAATATCGTGGAGGTCACTCTTCTTGAACAATAGCAGGGTCTTGCTGGTCTTCCACTGAGTAGGGACCTTGCATTCAGACAGGTAACGTGTGAAGAACCGAACCGGTGTGTTAACGAGGACTGGCGGAAAGTTCTTCAGGTGTTCAGGTCTTATCCTATCCTAACCTGATGCTGTTCGATTTTTCACCGACGAAATACCATGTCGGATTTCGGAAGGGTGAACCAGTGGTACAACATATCCATCCTCCTTTATTTCATATGACGAGAGGTGGATGTGGTTATCGAAGAGATTTCAGTAGTATTCGTGTATGATTTTCTCCATTGCCTTTCTGTACGCTGTAGCTGTTCCGTCTAGGCGTCAGAGTGCAATCATTTGGGTGTCGTTATTGGCGAAGATTCGCTGAGCTTTGCGATTGCTTTTCCCAGTCTCTGCAGCTTCGACCATAACTGCTGCTCTTCTCTCTTTAAGATCTTTTTTTATCGCTTGTCTGCATTGTTTTGCAAGTTCGGACGTCAGTTCGCGGTTTCCTGCAACTGGTGCGATTCCACGCTGGCGTATCAGCTGGAGTGTTTCTGGAGACAGACCTCTCTTGGTGACTTTTGAGCTCTCAGCTTTCATAGCGCTAAGGTGATGTTGAATGAGCCGCTCGTATTCTTCGTCGATTTTATCGACAACGGCATCTTCCCAACGGCCGACTAATGAATTGTATAAGCCCCAGTTTATGGTGGTCATGGGACTTGGGTTTTGAATTTAGTGGTTTTTCTCCTTTCCGCTCGAAGCAGAATATTTCACGAAGGAAGCGATGGTCCGATCCCGTGTAGAATTTTAGAACAACAGCGACAGTGGTAAGGCCAAGTCTTCGATTTACTGTTATATGGACTTTTTCTTTATGGTACTCTCCACTGGAGGACTTCCACTCCTTATTCTTTCTGCCTGCATCATGAACTTTTCTATCGAAGACTCACATGCAAGTGTGTGTCCATTTGGAGTACGCATCGTCCCTTAGTCTTTTGCTAGACAACTTAGAACAACCATGGGATCTTAGCGGCCTATCCGCACTCGTCCTTTCCAACACTGCCGAATCGGTGGCCTTTTTGAGGTCAAGGAATGAGGGTCGTTTATTTTACTGCAGTTAGCTTTTTCATACCGACGTATACCTTGCTGGACTCTGAACGTAGAGTTAGGTATACTTGCGAGTAGCTTGCCATTCTCTCTCAGAGTGGGTATGGAGCTTATTTGTTGGACTCCTGACCTCCTCCCATATACTTTCCTGTCACTTGATTGCAGGCTTTTGGCCGAATTGACTCGTAGAATACAATCGGCATGAGCAAGAACACACCCACTCACGCATGCATGATTACGTCCTCTTAAATACAGAAAGCATGTGCTAAATCGGTGCAGCAGAAACAGGAGATCTATCCCTTGGATTCACACGGATCTCAGGAAAGCAAATGTCGCTTTTTGTCCGTGATTAACCCCCTAATCGGCTTAATCGGCACCTGGGAAGGCACCACGCAGTCTTTCGGGTAACTGGCTCGATTCTCCTCATATGGGTGAGATCCGTGGACTTCCACACATATTCATCACAATGATAACAAAGAACTCTTTCACTAAAATGCTTATATTGTAAGCGTTTTTGTATTTTGAGCTTTGCCAAAAAGTCAGAAGATGTCTTGGATGCTGGCGAATACGTTTGTTAGCACTTTAATTAATAACAGCAACGATTTCACTACATTCCAGGTAGCAGTGGCCACCACCGATCATATGTTATTTTTCTACTCATTTGCCGGCAAATGCTTGAATAGCATAGCCATCGGTGAGTCCATCAATGGACTCGAACCGTTTCGATATGCTCCGAAGCAGTTTGAGGGCATTTTGGTGTTGTTAGAGAATCAGGTGAGTTTTTATCTACAATTATGACAGTTGTGAGCGAAGAAGCAGATAAGGCCGTACATGTCGCAGGTATTATGAAGCTTTGCTCCTTGGCTCGAAAGCGGCATCCATTAGGCGCTAACCAATCGAAAGAGAGGAACTGTCTATACCAAGTTAGAATCATCAAAAAGCTATCAGGAAACCCACTCAAGAACAGACCATCGTTTTGAGTCGCTATTTTTCCTGAAGAGACCTCGTCGCAAGGTAGCGGACATTCCGCCATTACGAAATGTCGAAGGATGCCTGTAATGATAATCCGACAAAGCTGCAAAATGGCTAAAATCCACGAGACAAATCACTCACCTCGATTTTTCTTGCACCGAAGTTCACACGAATCTTGGCTTTGGGAAGTAAAATTCGTAATGCATCTGTTAACAAGTGTCATTTATTTCAGATTCGACTCTACACACATCTTCATCTTCTCGATATCATAAAAACCGAACGTTCACTTTCGTGGATGAAATTCGGACAATTCGGACGAGAGGAAGGAGCACTTATTGTTGGCACGAGTGGTAAGCTCGAGTAAAAGTACTGCTGCAGTTAACATTTTTATTTACTTTTCAATATTGGGCTTGATTTTAGAGTTTTCGTTATTGGAATATACTTTAATTTTATTAATAGACCACGATAATACGCGCTCTATGCAAGGTGACATCCACCAGCGAGATTACCCAAATAGTGAATCAGCTCATATTCCCACTCAAAAGTTGAGATGAAAGTAAACCACATTGTCTCTACTTTTATTTACTGCTTATTAAATGACGGTCGGTTTGAAAATCATTCTTTTATGAGAAATTGAGAGAAGCGCAGAGCAAGGGCCTCCGTGGTGCAGTGTGTAATGCGCAAGTCCCCGGGAAGGAAAATCGTAGTTCGATCTGGCCAGGGTTCAAGTTTTGCAAATATCTCAATATCGTAGTGGTTGTCATTATTCTCTATGTGTGGTTAACATAATGCCGACCAACATAATCCTGAAAAAATATTATTGCTGAAACAATTTACAATAATGTATAGAATTGACAAAAATTAAAAACTTACTTGGGTACTTGAACGGCCTTTCCTCACTCGTTGCGCGAGCCCCAACGTAATCTCTACTTTCCTGAGTTTTGCTGGTTTAGTCATGATGTTTCCCTAGGGTACCGAGGTCAGCGTGGCCATAGTTTGCCCCACCTCCTCACCACCACAGGCAGTCGCTACCCTTGTGGATCAGAAAGAGATTTTCCACCATGCGACTAGCTCGATGCAGTGACAGTGATTGATCCTGGTATTGGTTTACTCTTAGCTGGGCTTCCTGGTAAAAAGGCCGAACTCGTTCTGAGCTTGGGAGACCGCTGAGGGGACGAATCCCTCACTGTACATAGCAGCACAAGACCTAGGAATACCTTCCAGCCACGATAAGGCGATAAACCGTTGGGAGGACCATAGCTGCCATAGTATCTTGCTTCTTCTTCTTCGAAAAACTAAAAATCCTTCATTAAATTCAAAGCAATCTACTACATGGAACTTTCGACGTCGTAGTTTACTCTTTCGGCAGCTTATTTCTTCAATTTTTTAAATAACTTCTGTAGAATCAACGTTTATATTGAATCAATTGTCCAATCGATTTTGAAAGTATAGAATTCCGACAGATGGCGGTCTGTTTGTGAAGTTGTTTCGCCGAAAAGCGTCGCTGGACGAACGAGTCGACCTCGCCGCTCCGCCAAAACCTTACAACATCAAGCTAAACATCCCGAAGAAAAGCAAGATATTTATCGACCAGACGATGAGGGAGAGAGAAAACGTCAATCAAATCAATCAGGTTGGTGAATGATATAAATATTGGTGAATATCAAACGAAATAACGTTGACCTCTAACGATGTTCATTGCTAGAGAAATTTTAAGAGCGCCGTAATTCTAAGTAGTTGAAAGCTGTATTACTTTGATATCCTCATCAGTCTCTCCACAACGAGCGGCGACGAGACTTAGAGCGCCATTTTTCATAGAACCACCGACCGCCTGAGCGTAAGCGGCCCTCATTTACATTCAGCTATGAGTTCAACGAATGTTTCTCATTAAAACATAACACTCGATGGTTAATTTTGTGTAGCCACCGCGTGCCATAACGCTTAATTTCATGTCAGTAAAGGAATCGTTGGATTTTCGACAGCAAAAGGATAAAGCTCTCGGCGTTGTTCAATCCCTTTAGGGATGGGCCATGCATTCGACTTCATTAAGTATCGTTTGGAGGTGACTAAATGCATATTTAGCCTTTACAATGACTCGCGGTGGTATACCGATGTATGAAGCCAGTGCTGCTATCCTTCTAGACAAGTCCGGTACCAATTTGCGATCCCGAAGGGATGGAAGGCTTGATTTTTTTCGCTATTAGCTGTTTAGGATTTTCGACAATAGGCGCTAGTTTTTCGGTAACTAGTGGAGTTGAAGGGTTAAGAGCATGCTACTATTACCGAATAGCTCTTACTGTTTCGTCTATAGGGTAGTGTGTGTGCTAGTATTTTCTATATCTTACTGTGGTCCACCGTATAACCTACTACTGCTGTGAGGGTTCGGAAGTGTCCTGCACCTTATTTTGAGTCTATTTCAACTTGATAAATTGAATTATCAATTAATGCCGAGGTTAACAGAAAGTCGGTCATGGGAGTTTTTTGTTAATCACTAAATGTGAAAAAGCGCTTTTCATGGGCCGCCCCTGACACATCTGCATTGAGCAATACAAAAACACAGTAAAAAGAGCTCCGCATGGCCAAGGAACCATTGAGAAGGAATTGTATAGAATGCAATGCGCTTGGTCTGCCTTGCGTCCTTCTTTGCAATAATGACGTGATTGCATCGCGACCGTTGTGCGTTAAAGAACGCTTGATTTTCGCGTTTGCTGCTTTCTTTTCAAACAACTATTCTTAGTGAAAAAAGAGAATTTGACTGCTTAATCTAAAAGTCAAAGGGCGCGTGTGGCGCAGTGGTCGAAAGCGCGCTGCAACACACCGCATGGGATCGATCCCCGTGCCCATGGCCCACCAAGCCTCCCATCCTTCCGGGGTCGGCAAATTGGTACCAGACTTGTCTGTGAGGATAGCAGCATTGGCTTGATACATCGGCAGGCCACCGCGGGTTATTGTAAAGACCAGATATGCATTCGATCACCTCCAAACGTTGCTTAATGATGTCGAATGCATGGCTGTCAGGGATTGATCAACGCCGAGAGCTTTATCGTTTATCGTTTATCCTTAATCTAAAACACTTGGCTAAATATTTTAGAGCTTTAAGTCAGCAGTTGAATAATGTTGTGTATTTTATACCTATCAACGTGATTTGTTCCTCATCAAATACCACATCACGAAAGCGTTTGCGGAAATGAGCGTCTCATCGGCGGATTCGATTTCCACCCATCCGGATCATTCGGTCGACATTGCCGTCACCGTGAACGGATTTGGACCAAAGTTTCGCCTCAACGTCAAACTGAGTTGCACCACGTTAGTTTCTATGTCAGTCATTCTACAAGACAATCATAGAGCCTTCCTTTCGTTTCATTTGAATCTATCGAAGTTGAACGAACCCTAGAGATACCACGATTTCAAATTGCCAAAAAATACTCTTTACACCAGGAAAACACCATTATACAATCTTTGGCTATCAATGGTGTTCTCGCCAAGCATCTATCGTTTTGAACAAACTCTCATTCCCGTGTCAATACTGATGCCAGGTCATTTCTACACATTCACCACCTTAGTGGAATGTCTTGAACAGGAAAAGGTAAGCATAAGTTTCCGGATGTACCGTGTTGAATATTGATTTATTGACTTTTCTGGCCAATAAACTCTGGTTCTGAACTTATCCTTATGGTGGTAAGCTTACATTGGCGAGTTTCTTACGGCGCTGAGTTCATTCAATGCAATGTTTTTTCCACTGCGACAGAAGCGATTTCTCTTACGTTCCTCCTACAGTAAAAACAGACATAGCTTTTGCCTCACTGAAGATTCTCTTCCATTTTTTGCTCGCGTAGCTTGTATTTTATTATCATAATTGATTCTCACCATTTAGGTAGTAGCTTGTATAAAAGGAAGAAGTCGTTACACGGTTGTAGCTATGGCATGTCATCCGAGGCTATGATCATTTCACGACCAAAGAAAAACTTTTAACGATTTTAACTCTTCCAGAATCTCATTCGCTGTTTTTAGTGGTTTAAAAACCAATGCGCATGAAATTGCACTTTACAACCGTGAACATCGAAAGTGTGTAGCGCAATTGTTGGACTTTCTACAATACACACTGGATCAGTCGCTGGTTTGACCCAACGCGAACTGCAAACTAACTCACTGTCACGCTAACTTGTGCCATCGATATGTCACCATTGTATATGCCAAATATGCATTAAATAACATCTACGATGCTTAACGGGGTCAAAGGTTTGATGCATGCTACAGCGACTTTTCAGAGCCTAGCGCGCTATCTTTTATTCTCTATGGAGTTTACCAACATTTTCTTAACGTTTATCTACTGCATATTCTTTTTCATGGCAACCTTTTATGCAAAATATACCCACAAGTATGCTGGCATATGAACAAAACTCGGAGCCTCAGGTGGGCTTCGAAAACGAGTTACCCATTCCGAGAGCTTACGTGCTATCCACCACACCAGCTGAGGTATTTTAATGTTAACAATGCTGTCAACAATCACTCGTCAACGGAAATGATCTCAGGAGCACAAATCGTGCCATTCCACCGATTGTTTATAACACCGCTAGAGTATAAAACTGGCTGAGAGAAATTCAAAGCAAAGCTCTAGGTTGGTGTGGTGGATGGCACGTGACTTCCGTGAAAGAGTGATCGCGGGTTCGAAGCTCGACTGTAGCTGCGAGATTCGCTCACATCTCAGCAACCTTGCGATTGCATTTTGTCAACATTGTTTAAACCATGATGATCTTTTCGACTTTTTTAGGCTCTTAGTGAAGACATTCGAGTGCTGCTGATCAAACCCGACAAGCCAACACCAATCGTCACTGCTATCGTCGCGATGCCTGTCAGTGAACGGAACGTATTGGACTAGTCGATCCGTTCTATTTAGTTTAATTACTTGGAGTAAATTTTACCCAATTTTTGCACTAAACATGTTGATAAGATTTGATTAGCGAAAGTTGGCGGAAGAACTCAACTCAATAAGAGTAATAGTGCAGTTGAAAAAAAAAACCGGAAGAACGACTAACAGTTGACCTTCTTGTTGGATTTTCAAGCTTTCCAATTAATAGCTGAATAGCGAAATTCCGGAAATGAAACGGATTCCAGCGGAGTAATCGTTTTCTGCAACTTCCAATAAACTGGTAGTTGCTACCTGGAAGGCCGATTCAGATCTACTCGGCTTGTTCAGTACTCACGCGTACCTGATGATTTTTCATAATTCCAAGCTGATCTGTTAATGAGTAAAGGAGAAAGGTTGCTCAGATGTTCGAGTTTGGTTCTGTGGGCGTCCTCTGTCGTACTATTTATTCCTTATTAGTGAGACATCACGTCGAAATTCGAGTGGCATGTATCAACAGGATAACTTCATCCATTGCCGTTTCGAGTTCTGAAAGTCTGAAAGTTTTCTCAAGTAACGGGCCCAGTTTTCACCCCGTACACCTTCAGCCAGCATTTTATTTTTTTGGTCTAATATTTTTGTCGACTTTTAAAGATCTTTTTACCCGTAAGTTGATGGAAGCCAGCTTAATGAGCACTTATGTCATTTTCATGCCTAGCTATCCTAGCGATATCATAAAGGTGAAAGAGTGGACTACTCACCTTCATTGTCACTTATTTCTCTAATGGTACCTTCCGGAAATCGATTTCCATTCTGTTTCCAGTCTATTAAGGAAGAAACAACGCTCAAACGAGGCGATGGTCTGATGCTCAGAAAAACTTTAGAACCGGTGCAACATATATTAAACAAACGTTGTATTTGCTGTGACGTGGCCCATTTCTCCTTTCGGGTGCAACGAAGGACGTCTTTAATTGTAAGCTTCTATGAATAGTCTTGGTCATCATGACCAACTCATACAGCATAGGATCTAATTCTTTCCATTCCACTTCATGGATGTCGATAGAAACGTCTTTAAGAGCTTTCTGTGGACAGTTTCAACAACACACCTTCCCATGTTGCTCACCTTCAGAGCACGATCTTTGTAGAAGTTCACTGAGTTCGTATGAAAGAGTCCTTGTATTTGGCCACTAAAGGCTCCGAAAACCGTTATTGGCACAAGTTTTTCAACCATAAGCATCCGATTTTTGACAGTAGTTGTTAAAATGGTTATGCCAATCTTCTCTGGACTGTTCATATTCTAGTTATGCTTAGGGATGAACAGAAAAAAGTGTGAGCGCCTGCAGCGCAGTGGTTAGGGGTACTTTTCAAAACCCACTGGATTGGGCAGTGGCTTGCTCATGCGTCCCAAGCTCTCGAAGCCTTTCAGCCATCCAAGGTCAGCAAAGTGCTAGCAGACTTTTCTGCGTCGGCGAGAGTTATGTCATAGGCCAGATATACACAAAGCATAATGATGTTAAAGGGATGGCAGATTCATACGGGTTCTATGAACGCCGAACGCGTTCTCCATTATTAATGGTTGTTCAATGGATTCAATGTTTACGGTCAGGCCCACACTGAAAAGTGTACCAACGCTCCGATTTCTCTACAGTCACTTGTTTCGGGGAACAGTCTTTTTTGGGATCGTAAGCGATAATTTTTCACAAATTTTTCAGCCTAGCAAGGTCTTCATGTTTTCTCAGTTTTCACTCTTCATTTTAGCGAGCCTTGGCATATCAAAGAAAAAAACCTTACGAATGAGCTTTGTTTTCACTTTTTTTGCCAAGAGTTACCCATTTTTAATTTACCATGATTTTTTGGTGTAAACGTAGTACTTGTTGCCAGGTGGCCATGAGTGGTGATGCAATCCACATAAATAGCAAGCTCACAGTTATCTTATCGATGAGCGTACTCCTATGTTTCTCGGTATTCCTCGAAAGAGGAGGATTCCTGTCTGACAAAACATGCTGAAAATCCAAAAACCAAGGTTGTGTTCGATCTTGTAACAACCATTTTATCTAAACCGCACTTCTTTCAAAGTTTGTGTCTCGGGGAGTATGTCGAGGTGTTGATTATCTCTAAATTTCTGGAAACAGGATGGAAGCGAAGTGCACAGCGAAAGCTGGAGAATAATGCCTGCTGAGAACTATCGATGTAAAGGAACTTAACAAAGCGATTAGGTGTTCTCAGTACGACCTAAGTCCCTATCGTATTTATGTTAAAATCGAAGCATGAAAATAATCTGGAAGTGCCGTGAAAGGTCACCCCCAGTCCTTCGTGTATGCCTTTTGAGCTAACCATTGCCATTATTGGAAAAACCTGTGAAGTACTTAAAACAGGCTGTTCAGACGAACACTTTTAGGCAACGTCTATTACCTAGTAACTTTCGCATCGATCGATTCATGAATGACTCCAAAGATCGATTTTCACTAGGAATATCGGTGCTGATTATGAAAGTTGTTTTTGTTCTTAATGAAGTAACACAGAATTATCAACAAAGCCTCGTAGATTTCCCAATGCTGAAGTTTTTACGAACTGCCCTTTTTTAGGCAACGCGAGGTTAGTATATGTTCTTATTGCTGATGTTGTCTTTGTTCAATTTCTAAAGCTTCGACAACTCGCCTTCCTCGGAACCTTGCGCTGGACCACCCGTGTTGCTCACGATGCATGATGATCATCACTGGAGCACAAAAAGGCTAGAAAAACGGCTTTGAAAAACACGATGTTTGTCCTAACGTAAGCCACTATAAGCCTAAGGGGTCATGTTAACAAACCTAGATCACTTCAACAAAGACAGCCGGAGCTTGTTAGCATATCATTCAATTTGAATACTGCTAAGATTTGGATAGATGACGTCTTCACTCAGTCTTTCTTCCTTGTTGTGCTTCCGAACCACTTCGATCAAAGATCCAGGGTTGATGGCACTCTCTGTGTGCGGGTTTTTGATGTCACCTCAAGGAACACAGCAGCGGTTTCTTATTTCCGAATCTAAAAACGATGCATCCTTCAGTCAGACACGCGGCCTTGAATAGCGCTAATTCCGTTCCACTCTCGCATTTGAAACCAGTCCACTGAAATGGAATTGATGAAAAAAAGAAGCAACAACAAATTTGGATGGGGTACTTAATCAAGATTATTAGCTCTGCTATGGCACTTTTATTGCCATTCCTCTCCAGCCAATTCTATTCAACGACGAGTCCACTTGTACGGAAAAACCAAAGACAGGATGAAAAAATCGGAACAACAAGTGATCTAATGAGATGTAAAGTCTTGGATTTGTGCTTCCTAACGAGCTGTTGTAACAGGATGGCCTGTAGCAGAGTGGTTATAGCTGCATTACAATAAGCTGACTGACATTGGGTCGGTTCCGAGCCTCTGAAATTTCAATGCCTTCATCCCTCCTGGGTGGACTGGTTGATATCAGAGTTATCTGGTAGGGTGAAAGCGCTGATAAGGTATATCGGTAGTCCACCGTAACGAATTATATAGACCAAATATGGGCCCAATGACTTTCGTGATGTTAGGAATGAAGTCGAATGCGTGATACCGGGGGTTGGTGCGCATTATAAATGACTAACGACGAGAAGAAAAAACACGAAGATGGTGTCTGAAACAGCATCACTAAACTGACCAAAAGCCTCTTATCGAATTAAAACCGTGGTGAAATGGTGAACTACTGGAATAAGGAATGAAGCTATCGGTGTATCGATAGAATTGTTTAAAACTTCCTCCTCGATGATATACAACCCGTTTTGCAACGGCAAGTGTGGTTTGCTGATTTCGAACAACAGTGGACAGCTGGGGCTCATGGTCTACGGGAATGGTTACTCTATCCCTCTTAATTTGAAAACGAATACAGCATTTCTATTACAAACCTCAGCTACGACCAAACTTTATTCAGGCCCATAAGCGATTTTACGGGAAGTTGAGCTCCAGATGGCGATCCTCGCCTTTGTTTCAAATGAGCAATCGGATGAAGTCATCGGATGTGACAATCTGTGGAAGCCATCTCTAATGAAGTTTCACTGCGGAAAACGAAATTTATAGATTTGAACCGTTTAGCTTTACCTTTCTTAGAAGAAGTTTCTTATAAGGGCATAATATAGGCATGAAAATAGTACGATTACGAAATACTTAACGAACGACGTCTGCTGATCAACTGTTAACTGCTAAACCGATCCATGCTATCAATGGGTCAAGTGCGGTGGGTAAGGTGCGGTCAAGTACTCAGGCTGGGAGTATCTCAATGTCACTACCAGAGTGCCTATATTAGGAATATGATGTTATTACATAATTACAAACTATTGTTATTACATAACACAAATAAAATCTGCATGAACAAATACCGATCGTCCTCGAGTGTGGTGAGGCGTGCCTGACTACCTTTCAAATGATGTGAAGTTCGAGTGACTTTATGATTGTAAATGTATGTGTTAGCTACGTAGATTAAATATTCATATGCCAATATTTAAGTTTGTTACACGAAATGAATACAAATAAATAAGGTAGGTAGAAAGCGCTAGGTAGAAAACTAGCTGAGCGAAACGTAGAACAAGGGTTCCGTGGAGCAGTGCGTAATGCGCGAGCCTCCGGAATGGGAAATCGTGGTTCGATCTGGGCAGCGTCGAAGTTTTGCGAATATCTCAGCATTGTTGTGGTTGTAATTCACATCATTTCCTGCCGTCAAAGATTGTGGTAGGCAGAAAATAAAAGGTTGATATTATAAATAAACAATTTGTTTCATCCTTTTTAACTCTAACAAGGTTTACCGTAGCACGGTTCTAAGTGATGAACCCCATGCCGTGTAAGCTTGGTGAACATTAAAATAAAGTGGTCCCAACCATTTTATTTGATTTGCTTAGGTGTTTTCCAAGCAATGAACAGACGAATTGAGCGTGTATTAACTTATTAAAGAAAATTCATCGCTAACAGAACGCAACTCCTTTCGTCATAAAATCCACAGGGTGAAGAAAGCACTGGTTTATCTCATATCAGCCAATCAACAGCGATAATCGTAAGCGGTGTTCTTCCGGATAATGCGACTGCCACCGCCGTCGTTGCCGTCGCCATCATGTAAATCGTGGACGTCACGCACGTAAACCACAGCGGTACGCACTTTGTTGCGGCGCAGCGCATGACTCAGACGCCGTTTTCCACAGTTTTTCTTTCATCCGAACTGACCTTTGTGACAGAGTGCTTTTTTCATCGATGAAGGTGAAACGACCCAACTGCTCTATAAAAGACAAGGTGTGCGTCATAATGGTTTCGTAGCTGCGTTAGGTGACGTGTCTGTCTCACGACGACCGTCGGCATCTCCGCACGACGATGTTCATCGTCGGTTTCGCGTCCACGATAGCGCTGGTGACCACCGTTGCATGTCTGGTGTCAATTGCAGTTATTGTAAGCGATATTAACGATCTACGTGACAATATACTCAGCACTATTGGTAATTTCAAGGTAATTCCTTATGATTAGATGAAGAAACTTTACTGTGACGCTATGCTGGAACATTTTTCGCAAAAAAAGAAACACACTTTGAATGAAGTGATGTAGTTTCTTGAGTCAAAATCACAGAATTTGTTAAGCTTTTCAGGATGTTGCTGACAGCACTTGGATAGAAATTGTCAATCTAAACACTCATCCCAATGGTAATCGAGGTGCTCCATCCACATTCGCAAGTATCTTCGGACGTCACAAACGAGCTAGTTTCCCACCCGAGTGCAATTGTGGACCTCTACCTGAAAATTGCCCTCTGGGACCTCCAGGACCACCTGGTATTTCCGGCTTACCTGGACTAGACGGAGAAGACGGGCCTGATGGACGTCCTGGAGTCAAGTTAAGCTTAGCTTTTTAAAATCTCATTAGAGCAAAAGAAGGTGAAGAGCATAAAGAAGTAAGCGACAAAACATTTTCAACAACAAAGAGTTACACACTTGTGAACGTTCTATGGAAGAATGATTTCAGGGAATTGCACTTGCTGTCACGCACCGTATTCCAGGCGGATGCATTGAGTGTCTTCCTGGTCCTCCAGGCCTTCAGGGTCCTCGAGGAAGTGCAGGACTTCCAGGGCGTGATGGCGAGCGTGGGCTTCGTGGACCAGATGGCGAGATCGGAATTCCAGGACCGAAAGGTCCCGTTGGAGAACCCGGTCTCGCAGGAATTCCCGGTATTGCTGGAAAAGATGGTTATCCCGGAGCACCTGGCTGCCGTGGCTTACCTGCAATGCCTGCACCACGAGGCGAAATGGGTCCCAAAGGATATCCAGGAGGTCAGGGTAAGATGGGGGAAAGGGGGCCGCCAGGAGAAAGGGGACCCGCAGGACCACCAGGGCATCCTGGTAATCGTGGAACTCCAGGTCCTCCAGGAACGAATGGGAAGGTAAGCTTGTCAATAATAGAAGTCCTAGCTCTTTAGCGATCAGAATAGTTTATTTCCTTGAAAACGTACATTTATCAATTCCAGCTTGGGATGCCTGGCCGCCCTGGACTAGACGGGGGATACTGTCCTTGCCCTCCGCATGGTAGATTACGACTTTGATTTTTCGAAATTCCGTTGTTTGAGTTGATACTTAAAGATCTCGCCGATAAATTTTCATTTTTTAGAAGTTTCAGGGTAGTCTCAACGAAAACTTAAGTAAGTTAAGATAGTTTGTACTCTTTGTTACTCTCACGTGTTTCCGAATGTTGTGACTAAAATTAGTTACTGCTATAATCAACTTGGTTATTGGTGAGATACGGTGCAGAATTCATAAAATCATCCCCACGCTGAACTTGTGGGGAAACCAGATTGACTTCACCAGAAATCATGAGTTGAAACGACTAATTTTTCCTCTAATCCACAATGGGTCTCACGTTTCTGAAACGCAGTGCGATTGTTTTGATTGCACAAAGAATATTTGCTCCGTTTTAAACTCTGTCAGAGTTCGTGTGCAATTCATAGGAATTGATTATTTGCCTTCCACATGATCATTTCATCTGTGCCTGTGTAAAAGATTTGGATAAACTATTTATACATATATAATGTGTTGAGTCTGAGTATAAAAAGAAGTGAACTGCTCCCTAAAGGTGTTTCGACCACAATCTGTTGACGATCGCATGAATGCATAGCAGTGGATAGTCAGCATCTGGCCGGGGTAACCTAGTTTGCACCCATGCAAATCAAATACCTCACCGTTTAGAGGCAAAGTGGAATAATTTCATATATGGATAAGAACATGAGAGAGGTTACCTATTATTGACGACTGCCCTACTTTGTCGTTGCTAATATTCTGGTAATATGTTGTCAATGGACTTGTGTATACGACTTTATAAATTAAAGTTTGTTCTTGGATCGAATCCAACCAAACGCTTAGGTTGTTAAAAACATGAACAACGAGATTGAAAAGGATGAAGGAGGGAACGTCTGACATCGACCAATACCCAAGGGTTTCGCTCGACTTCTTCGAGCATTTTATGGGTGGTTGCACTCATATTTGGCCGATGGAATGACTTGTGGTGACCTGCCAATATAAAACCCAGTGGGTTTTAAGATCTTAGAGAAATCTAGTGCCAATTTTCTGACTCTGGAGAGATGGACAGCTTAGTGAGCCTGAACAGGGGAAGCGAATCAATATGTATTATAGGGCACCTCTACCCATTGCGCTATAAGGAACTGAAGAAGCACATTAGAAAGAATATTCCTCATGTTTATTTCGTGAGACAAAAGTAGCTACCAAAGGAGCTTTTCTAATAATAACAATCGACTATGGTGATCGAATGGTATTTACCTTGAAAATACTGAAAATAGCGAATCACCACAAGCCACACTTCCTAAAGTTCATCAACTCGATGGTGGAAAAAGCTGAAAATGGAAAGTAAGGGTAAACATACCATGAAATCATAAAAAAAATCTGGGTCGGTGTAAACTAGTGAATGTTTCACTAAAAGAGCGAGAAGGATTCACTATTTTCGCAATAAAAAAAATTGGTATAGTTGAGGTAAAAAAAAAGGATAAAGCTCTCGACGTGGGTCAATTCCTGAGAGATGCGCCATGCATTCGATTTCATCAACCATCGTTGGAGGTGATTGAATGCATATCTGACCTTTACAATGACTCGCGGCGGCCTACAGATGTATCGAGGTAGTGCTATTATCCTCGGAGACAAGTCTTGTACCAATTTGCCAACCCAGGCGAGATGGAGCGCTTGGTGAGCCTGGGGCACTAGGATCGATCTCAAGTATATTGCAGACTACCACCGACCACAGCGCTACACAAGCCTCTTTTAAGCACTGATATTGATTAATCCTTACATTTCGTAAAGTACGACAGTTAATAGAACCAAGGAGACGATTTCCAGCACTTCACCTAATATCTTGCCATGGAACAAGAATACTTACTTACTTGGTACTTGAAACAAGAATAAGAAGTAAATAAAAGTCTAAACATTCGTAACTTTAACTGCATCTTCGGCTTAATAGGGTTCAATGACGATTCTGGCTCCCCAGATCATTTCCGTTGAAGAGTTGTTGTTGATAGAACCGTTAGAGTTAACAAAGTGGCTGCGAAAAAAAAACCAAAGCAATAGTCTAGGTTAATCTAATGGATAACACGTGAGCTCCCGGAGTAATCGCAGGTCCAGAGAGCACCTGAGGTTCCTAATTTTGCTCATTTCTCAGCATTCTTTGTGATTTCCCCTCAATTGAACAGACCGCATTTTGAAAATCATAGACCACTACTAACCACATTCATGCCTGCGTCGTGAAATCAGCAGAATCTTCATGTCTGGTTTTCGTATAATTGCTTGAAGACTTAGGACATAACGGATATATGCAAGGAAAAACTTTGCTCTGTCGCTTTGTAGGTGTGCAGATTAGAACAACGAATAGAATTGGATAACCAGCGCCTCCTCGTAGAAAATGAGAATAAAGCAGCTAGAGATGTGAAGAGTAATGTACAGCTTTTCGTGACTAATAGCCTGTAAAAAGTAAATAAAGGAAAGGAGATGATGGTGCTCACCAAACTTTCCACCTCTCTGGGGTCGGAAAATTGGTACCAGAGCCTTCTGGGAAGATAGCAGCACTAAAGGGATAAAATAGTAGCCCTCCGAAAGCCGTCGTAGGGGTCAGAAACGCGTTCAATCACCTTTAACGACCGAGGCACTTCTCCCATCATATTAGTTACTTCAACGTAATGTAGTTCTTCGAGTCAGTCGTCAGATATATAATCGTCAGCTCGAAATAGTATGTCGTTGCCACAGCGCAGAATCTCAGATATATATAGTTAAACCGCTTCTAATAATAATAATAATAATAAATAATAATAATAACAACAATGATAATAATACAATGGCAACGATATAACGAGACCAAAACAATATGACGACGAGACGGCAACAGAATCAATAAGCGAGGGTAAGATGATGAGTGAGAGATTACCTCTGAGATAAAAGAATAGCTTTGCCACAGGATGGTAGAGTAATGTGATTAGATGTGATAGAGCAATGTGATGTACAAGTGTTACCTAGGATACGGTAGTAGAGTTAAAAGGGGCCTAATATTGCAGACAGCAAATGAGTGGTTGCAATCGCCTTAACTTATGAAATTACAATAACAATGCAAATGAAGTCAATATATTAGAAGGTTCTTGTGAAAGGTTGTTATAGCTTTAACTTAGAGTATCAGTGTGATGACGGTACCATATGTACACGCTGCGTAAATACTAACGTGCTCACTATGAAGGATCTTCTAGGTAGGAAGGAGTTGCACTAGCAATGACGAGGAGGTCTTCTCGGAGTACAAAATTATTAAACGAAACAGATCACTCATCACATAAACATATTGGCGGATATCGACGGATCCCCACGGTTCTCCCTCATATGAGAGATCTCGAGCCGGTTAGTCGTGAGGCTACGTTGCGTGTCCCCAGGTGGCGGATAGGGGGTTAACCGCAGACCAAAAGCGACCTTTGCTTCTCTGCGTCTTGGCTTGAGACGCATATGGATCCAGGAGATAGACTCTCTGTTTCTGCTGAGCCGATTTGGCACATACTTTCTGTATTTCCTCGGCGTATTCAAGCATGCGTGTATGGGTGCGCTCTCTCTTATGCGGATTGTATTCTACGAGTCAATTCGGCCAAAAGCCTGCAATCAAGTGAACTATATGGGAGGCGGTTAGGAGCCGCCTGCAACAAATAAGCTCAATGCCCACTCTGGGAGAGCCTGACAAGCTACCCGTGAGTATACCTAACACCCACGTTCAGAGCCTAACGAGCTATTCATGGGTATCAAAATGCTAAACACAGTAAAAAAACGGACCTCATTTCCCTGACTCCGAAAGAGCCCCCAGTTTCGCAGCGTTGGGTAGAACGAGTACGGAGAGGCTGCTAAAATCTCAGGGCCAATGGAAGCTGCCTGGATTTCAAAGAACTATGGTGACGGCCTGTACCTACAATGCACGTACACTTGCATCCGACTCCACGGTAGAAGACTTGCTCATGCAAGCAAGAAGAATAAAGCACGACGTCATCGGCCTGACCGAGACGAGAAGACGCCAGCCTTTCAACGCCGTCTATGACACCGGAGAAGAACTGTTCCTCGGAACATGCGACAGTAAAGGACTGGGCGGCGTCGGCGTTCTCGTCAGCACGAGTTTGTCCACGAACACCGATTCATTCGAACAACTTTCAACCCGAATCGGAAGTTGACGACTAAGAAGACGTGGATCAATTCCAGTTATGACAATCTTCGTCGTTTACGCGCCGACATCAAACTATGACGAAGAAGAAGTCGAAGAGTTCTATATGGACTTGGAGAAGTTCTACAGAGAAGACGATACATTCTTCAAGGTCATCATTGGAGATGTCAACAGCAAGACTGGACCAAGAAAAACGTCTAAAGAACGTCACCTTAGGACCCACGGATTAGAACGGAACGAACAGGGTGAGCGGCTATCTGAGTTTATCATGGAGACCTAGACCATCCATGGTAACTCGCAATTCCAGAAGCCCCACCTTCAGCGCTGGGCGTGGAACTCACCCAGTGGAGAGTACCACAACGAAATAAACGACATCATAGTAAATAGAAGGTCTTGCCTAATGGATGTCACTGCTGTCCTAAAATTCTACACGGGAACAGACCACCGTTTCCTTCGTGCAAGACTCTATTTCTCGCAGAAAGGAGAAAAAGCGCTAAATTGAAACGATAAAAGAAGATCTTAAGGATAGAAGAGCAGCAGTAATGGTCGAAGCTGCAGACGCTGGGAAAAGCATTCGCAAAGCCCACCGAAGCTTCGCCAATTACATGAGTAAGATGATTGCACTCCGAACCCCACACGGTACAATTACAGCATCCAGAAAGGCAATGGAGAAAATCATTGACGAACACTATTCGGATCTCTTCGATAGCCACGTCCACCTCCCGTCATATGAAATAAAGGAGAATGGATGAGTTGCACCACCTGCTCTCTCTTCTGAAAACAGACATGCTATTTCGTCGGTGAGAAATCTAACAGCACCAGGCTCGGACAGGATAAGACCTGAACACCTGAAGAGCCTTCCGCCAG